GTCATGAAAGAGCTGCTTGCCCTAATCCATGTGTGTGTGTGTGTGTATGTGTGTGTGTGTGTGTGTGTGTGCGTGTGTGTGCGTGTGTGTTTTAATGTCCCATAGATTTTGTCCGTCATCTAAAAATCAAAAAAATGTGTAAAAAAAAAAAAGAAAAAAGAGAAAAAGAGAAAAAAGAAAAAGAAACTAGCTGATAGTTTTCAGCTTGTTGACGATTTTCTTCTCCTTTACGCGTCTGTTTTGAAACCATATCGTGACCTGTCGCTCGGACAGGTTGGTCTGAGCGGATATCCTCCTCCTTTTGTCCTTTGTGATAAATTTATTGGCGGCGTACTCGCGCTCGAGTTCCTTCAGTTGCACCTTGGTGTATGGCACGCGCTTCTTTCTTCCACGTCGATAAGACCCGGAGTCTCCCCCGGCGTGAGACACTGCGTCTGAGAAGGAAAAAAAGACAAAGAGAGAGAGACAAAAGAACATGTGATAATCTGCCTCTAAACTTACTCTCAGAATAAAATTTCCCTCCCACGAAATTAAAAAAAAGAAAATGTAAATAGCTGAGTGACACACTTTCAACTTTTTTTTAAATAAAATAAAATATTTCAGGATATTTGAGGTTATTGATGAAAATGGGAAATCCTCAAATCAACTGGACAGGCTTGACTCTCTAATGATAAGTGATTGATAAAACAATAGAAAAATGTATTTGTGTAATTTTCTCAAAGGAAAACTTAGCGAATTTTAAAGCGTCCTGGTATTAATCTAGTCGTTTTAACGCTCTTTGTTGTATTGTCGCTTATTTGTGGTTAAAATATAGTTTCAGCTATAACGTGGTTATAGCATACATTTGAGATGTTCTTCCCACAGTGAGGGAGATTTTATCAACACGCCATGTACTACTGCACCATACATACTGGATTTGCTGTGTGTACTATCGGACTTAAATTGTCAAAAAGCTGCTTCCTGTAAAGGATGGATTCTGTGTAAGGCACATGCCTACCTGGTATGGAGGATTTCCACATGTGTCCGGGCTGAGGCTGCTCCTTGGCGCAGTAGACCTGGCTGTTCCAGCCGTTGGAAGCGAGAGTCCACGGTTGGTAGCTCTCCATAGGCAGAAGAGACTCGTGTCTGGCCTCTGAAGACGCGCTGATAGTTGGCACTACTGGGACGTCCAGGTAACTGGGGACAGGTTGGTATGGGCCAGAGGGATACGTTGGATAAAAAGCAAATTCCTTTGCCCGGGAGGCGAAATCGTCGCCTGAAGCGGACGTGTCCATGTATTTCTCCCCATACGCGGAGGGGGGCTGCGCTCCGCACGACTTTATGCTGCTGTGATGCGACATTCTGCACGGGTAACCGAAGTACCCGTACGGCAGGGACGCGCTGGACGAATTCTGAGCTGCAGAGCAGGGGCTGCACTGTTTCACAGGCTCGCCCATCCCGGAGGTGTGCACGTCGCTGGACGAGTACGCCGTGCTTGGTGCCAGGGATGCGGGGTGCGCCATCAGATTCCTGCACTGGTTCGCAGCAAAGTTGCCACCAGCAAAACCCTCCATGTTCTTGCTCACTTCATCGGAACCGCCGCCGTTGTCGTAGAGGAACATCACCGACGGGTCGACCCAGCGAGGACGGAGGAGCAGTGACGTTGTCATAGCACGGCATCCAACATTGAAGCTTATGGCTCTTTTTTAAAAAGCCCTCAGACTGAAAAAAGGGAGATACTGCTTCCCGGAGAGTAAAGCCACTCTGACGCGCACAAGAGCGCAGATGTGGCGCTGTTATTGGTCCAGATGTGGTCACGTGACCGGGCTATGCAAAGAGGACGGTAAACATCAGCAGATAATTAAATGGAGAAAAATGCGGCGAAGGGAAGGTGACTGCACCTATCGAGGGGTTTGACTTTTGTCATATTTGATTTAACCAGCATGGATGATGTGCATTAATTTCAAAACAGAACGTAAGGTACAATTTACATGAATCTGTGCTTACGCTCATTTAGGTTTCATGCGTCCAAATGATAGAATTTCGTCATTTTGAGAGGAGAAGTGCTTATTTTCACATATAAAGTACAAACAAGAGTCGATTGTTTAAAGGTATGCAACTTTTTTTTTTTTTAAAAAAGAAAGAAAACCGTTGTGACCCAGGCAGTTACATATGACTCATATGCACCGCTTTTGGCCTTTAAGCATGCATACTGACCTGCCTTTGTTTGCCTCGCTGTACAAATTCTAATATTATAACACTCTTTACAACAGAACCTTCTTAGTGTAAAAATAAAGTCTGATATATCTGTGCATTGCACCGATATACACGGAATTAAACAGGGTACTTCTGTCTGGCTGATACGCCTCTGTTTGCGCTTTATCCGATAGGACGTGTAAGATAAAAAAAAGTTTGATCCTAGTAACTTGGAGGTATTGAAATAACACATATATAATATATATAAACACGTATAATGAGGCGCATGCGTGTAGTTCTGAAAAGGAGACAGGGTTCACTTGTGTATTTCGATAGCAGTTTAAAAAAGAGAAAAGAGGACATGAGAGATCATCTCGTGTTGTGGGGGATTATTTTGTACACTTGACTTCAGACATGTTTACATGTTTACAGTATGCAAAATCAGAAATCAGAAAAGCTCTCGACATGGTATGTGTGCGTGTTTTTGCATAGGACGTAAACGCGGTTGGAGGCCAAGGTCAAGTTGAATGTTGCTGTCTAGCCATCCAGTCCCTCGGCCTATTCAGGCTTTGAAGAGACCGTCTGAGCTCTTGAAAAGAGCGGAAGAGGGGTGAGAATTCCTGTCCCAATGAACGCTATTGGAGGACATTAACTTTTACTGTCATTTTGTTATCTCCCCTGTTTACTCTTGCGAACTAGTTCGAACCCGCTCCTTCTTCTACTTCTTCTTCTGGATGGCACGTAGGCCTACCTTTGAATCCCAGCGTTGGAAATGTAAAAAGAATAGTGCTGGAGTTTTGTTTTATTATTCTTTTGGGGGTGTTTCTTTCTCTCTTTTTTTCTTCTTCTTTTGGTAGACATGTGTGAAAAAGAAACCGTGTGCGTGTGTGTGTGTGTGTGTGTGTCTGGTCTGCTGGTTAGTGTTTATGACCAGTGGCTCTCCGTCTATTCACTGCAGTAGGACCTGGTGGATTTTCCCTCGTGGTTGTTACCAGGTTTTCCAAATCCACCATAAATTGTCACCTACATGTCCCCGTGTGTACTGTTTCTGCTATGAGACTGGGGAACTAAACACCCAAAGAGAAGCTGCTTCTCATGGATGGAGGCGTTTAGCTTCAAGCCAAATATTTTATATGAGAACAGTCATTTTTAAAAAATTGTTCCGTCACATTTGTTATCTAAAATATGAACAACTGTACAGTAAATTCCAACACATCGTTAACTTCGATAATATATCAAGTGAAACTAGATATTAATAAACAGTAAACACTGATTTAGGCAGTTTAGTTTTATATTGTGAACCGTAGACTTGCTGGCACCGGGCGACAAAAAAGGGATGGACTGAGGTTGTTAAACAAAAGGAAGCTTAAGACAGCAGTTTGTGTTAAAAAAAAAAATAGAAATAAATAAAAAGTGTGCTGATGCTTTGTCTTTTTGGGGGGAGGTGCTTGATTTAAGAGGCATGTGATGCAGATGGAGAGAGAGTATTTGGGATGGATATTTTTGTTTCTCTTCTTTTTAATGAGTTCCACATTTATCCAAAAGAGAGAACACCCAAAGAGATTTAATCTTAATGTTTTGAGTTTGACTAAAAATGTATAATAAATAGCAGATTATCGTTACCAAGTTTTTTCTTTGTTTTGTTTTTTTCAAACGAGCCATTAAACGCGGGTTTGTAACGCTTATTATTAATGTGAAGGATTATGACATTCAGAACTAGGCTGCTGTCTGTCTTTTTGAGATCAAAGGGAAATCTGTTCCTCCCTTGGATTTGGATTGCAAAGGCTCTACCTTTTCAAAGACATCTCCGTTTAGACCCATAAACAGCGTCACATGCAACATTTATTTAGTAGTCAAATGGAAAAGTTATTGCATTCGGTGGATTTGAATAATTGTAAGGCTGAAGTGAAGGGGATTCAACACGAGCTGGTCGGGGTTGGTTCTGAAGTCATCGTACAAGAAAGCTCAAGTAATGAAATCATTCATCAGCAATATGCAACAATATTTATGAGTCTCGCTACAAGGCCCGGCCTGTTGCCTCGTGGCGTTCTCGTCGAAGCAAAGCTTTTTTTAAAAAAAACAAAAAAAAAAAAACAAAATCAAAACAACAACAACAAAACACGGTTGCGTTAATCCACACTGTGGCATATGGACTTTGTTCATGTTAAATCAAGCTGCATTTAATGTCAGTATTCTATCCATTTTTTTTAAGTTTCTTGCCCCAGAGAGACTCTTGAAAAAAAAAATCAGGAATCGTGTTTTTAATCTCCGTTCTGTCCTTTAATTGTTCATGTTACTCTCCTCCGGCCATGGGGGCTGCCTGCGCGTCCATGTGGTCAGTCCAGACACGAGACATCCCAAAGTACAATGAACACACAACAGGAGGGGGCCAGTGCCCGCCGAGGAGACGCACAATTCACCACTGGCTTGTGCTTAAATCGTGTGGCAGGAACCTTCGTTAGAAACACCTTTTAAACGATTCACTATTGAATTCTTGTCGGATTTGCATTGTATTCTCTGATTTACGCACAAACGTAAGCGGGATTAAAAAAAATGAAAGACTAAACGGTGATTAATCTTATATCTGTAAGTTCCACTAAATCAAAGTGAATCTAAATGGCATAAATTTGACGTGCACCCCTTGATCTATTTCAAGCATCCTGCATAGTTTCTAAGACTGCACTTTGGGATTTGGCAGCAGAGCCTGGAGGCTTTTCTCTGAGGTCATTATCAAGGCTCAATCCCTTGTTTGTACTGGCACTGAAGTTATGCAGTCAGAGAAAGAAAGAGCGCATTTGATCCGCGGCCTGAGCCTCTGAAGCCTTGGTAAAGCAGTCTATATAAAGTTATGCTCAGCTATAAATTTATATCCTTAATAACATAAAATGGGACATAAAACAGGGTGCTAAGAACGTGCAGTCAAATGTCGGTGTTGATCGCACGTGCTTTTGTCAAAAAAAGCTGTCAAAACATAAGAGCCAGTATGTTTTTGTGGTTAAAGCAGGGAACCACAAGGCGGTCACACACTTGTCTTTTCCATATTTTCTGGACGACTGCCTGCACTGTGATTATGACGGACTGCATAAAAGTAACAAGGAAAGCTGGCCCACTTCATTCTTTTTTT